GATAGGGGGACGAGTCTTCTTGCAGGTGACGGAAAGGGGCGAGTGGTGACGAATGTCACGGAGAGGTTGGTCAACCACAAAACGTTTGCCGGTGTCCCGGTATAAACTCTCCCCCGTACAAATTCTCCCCCCGGAGATTTTATACCGGTACAGATTCTCCCCCGGGCGGATATATTTCGCGCCCCCCTCAGAATAAAGTCTCCCCCCTGATTATTAGCGTGTAGGGGTGTGATGTCCTGGGCAGGAAATGACAGTATTTTGACTACTCGTCTTTCATTAATTAACGTTTAGGGCATCCCTAATTAACCTTTACTAATTCATGTTAAACCAACACAGGATGTTTTCTGGAAGTGGACAATCGCGAATGTCATAGGGCTGACAGGACACGTGTTAATAACTGTCCTAGAACTTCTTAAGTTCTAAACATTCTTTATATCTACCTATATAACACTTTATTGTCTCATATTGCGGTAGTTAAAAGAAAACACAGTGGTCAAAGTGAAGCCCTTTTCACTCCACATTCTCAACATCGTCTCTATCAGAAGTTTTTGGCAACTATTGAACTGCATGGCAAGTATTTATAAAACGACCAGGGGAGGAAATATTCTGGGGGCAGATTTTATTTCGTGGGGTGGGGGAGAGTTTATTTCGAGAGGGGCGGCACTGTACCGGTATAAATTGGCCGGGGAGGGGGGGGGGGGGGGGGGGGGATTTTATTCTGGGGGGCGAATATATTTCGTGACACCGGCATGTAGTATCCACATTAAGCGCTTTCAGACACTTCTCTCTGTGACGGGGCGGTCGGGTAGCCTAGTGGTTAAAGCGTTCGCTCGTCACGCCGAAGACCCGGATTCGATTCCTGACATGGGTACAATGTGTGAAGCCCATTTCTGGTGTCCCCCGCCGTGATATTCCTGGAATATTGCTAAAAGTGGCGTAAAACCATACTCACTGACTCACTCTCTCTCTGTGACGATCTCTGTTTTGCAGTAAGGTCATTTAAGATACCGACCTTGTGTTCTCTAAGCGTTTCACGTTTCGTGAGAGGTCATAGTTTTGGATTCCACATCCCAGAATGCCGTTATTATAGATCGCGGTTTCTCTGCATTGATACTGCCCACTTTATGAGCACGCCGCATATCACGAGGCCATATCATGTACCCACCATTGCTCATCGAGTTGACAATTTGCATTGTTTTTCTCTTACCATTTTCTTTCTCTTCAATTCCGAACATATTAATATTGTACCTTCGGTTGTAAATATAACGTTTTTCGACTCTCACGTCTGTCAACATTCTGTGTAGCTCATGCTTGTGTGTGGCACTATCTCTACACTCAAAAAAAGTAGGGGACGTTCGAAAATAACAGATGATTAAAAAAATACAAATGGGTATTCAGTGATGGTAATGGGAAAGGGAACAAAAGGACGGTTGTAACATTCACAATCAACAGACCATGTTTGCGGTGTATTGTAATAGTGGAAACAAGAAAGAAAGACAGGGGGGTGTAGTCACATAATGAACGTTGGGGATGACTTCATCAATAACGGGGGGCGGTCGGGTAGCCTAGTGGTTAAAGCGTTCGCTCGTCACGCCGAAGACCCGGGTTCGATTCCCGACATGGGTACAATGTGTGAAGCCCATTCCTGGTGTCCCCCGCCGTGATATTGCTAAAAGCGGCGTAAAACCATACTCACTCACTCACTCATCAATAACGGGCCATGCCCCCACGAGTGTCAAACATTTCCGAACCAAGATCCGAACCAAGCTCAAAGTGTGTTTTTAACTCCTCTTGCAACGCCAGGCCCAGTTCGGTGAACGTAGAGGATGGCCTTTGACGTCGGCGTACACGTCTCCTGATCATGTCCCAGACGTGCTCTTTGGGGGAAGGTCTGGTATCATGGCTGGCCATTGCATTCCTGTGATGTGTTCCTGCTGGGGGTAGTCAGTTACGCTACATGCACGGTGGGCACGAGCGTCATCGCCTTGAAAGACAAAACCTGGACAAGCGTGGTCCTCAAACAGCACAACTATTGCGCCAGTATGATGAATCGGTAGTACTGTTCATTAACCCTTCAAAGGAGAATAAGCAGTGGCGTTCTTGCAGTCATGGTGACATCTCCCGATAACATCACAGACCCATCCCAAACTATGCCATGTTGTCTTACGTTGAAGTTCGCACGACGTTCGTTAGGGCGCCTCCAGGCACGTCGACGTATGTCCAGAAAGTCCATAGTGAATCTGCGATCATCTGAAAACATTACACGATGCCATTTACCTAGTTTTTACGGTGTAAACACCGTTGGCGCCTGGCTAGAATGTGTCGATTTGTTTACGGTTGTACAACACGTGGTCACCGAGCATGCATATTTGCTCAATGCAAACGATTTGTAATCGTCTGGTCAGTAAATTGATCTCCAGTAGGCTGACGCAAGTGAACAGCGGTTTAATTGGCTTTTGGGGCTCGATTTGGGCCTGGTTTCTGATGAATCTATTCTGGACTTGTATGATTGGCTTCGGATGCCCTGTGTGGGGCCGATCATTAGCATTTTGTGTCTCCAGAAGCCTGTTCCAAAGTCTGAAAATCACAAACTGAGACACATTGAGGTCAGAGAGATTTGACGACCTTTCACTCAAGTATCAAAATCAAGAATGACCCCCTTCCATGTACACGGAGGAACTGCATGGCCCACGTGCAATGTTTCGGGTTTGTTCGAGGGTTGTTCGTCACGCTGAGGGAACAGGTTCGAATCCCCAGTGTCTCAGACCCATTCTTTAAGCACTTCGTCTTAATCCTGCTCATGGATGGAATGATGTTAATTGAAGCGTAACACCAAATCAATCATTTCCCTGCGTCCGTATCAATGCCAGTATACGACTTTACTATGTCGTTTCAAAAAGGTCATAATTAACATCAGCCTTGGTATAAAATGTACATTATTTTAAGGTAAATAACAAATTCAAGTATGTGTGTACAAGAAAAGTGACACATTTCCAAGGTTAAACGGGTAATTACACGTTTCAAATCAAAGATTTTGGCGTCATGGCATTTCACTCCGTTTCTCGTCACATGGTTTATTGGAGAATCCATTGACATCCGGGTACCCTGGGTGGATATAATTTGGTGTGTGGCACTGATAGGGAACGTTTATTTCTGATAAATCTAAAACACATCGATCGAATTGTACAATTGAAACAATAATCAAACGAATTGAGGCTCAAGTTTCCTGTTTCTTCTCGCATGCATATCAGCTAGTAACCAAAATTCCAACCAGTTCATGAAACAAAATAGCCATATCGTTTTGAGTTTTAGCCTGGAAGTTCAGGTCAGACAGCCATTTAACTTACATTAAATCACTCTAACCAGTCTTCTCGGATGGTTCTGAAATGAATATATCATCTACTATCGTCATTGTAGACCGCCTCCGTAGTCTAGTGGTAGAGCGTCCGCCCGGAGAGCGGAAGGTCCGGGGTTCGATCCCCGGCCGCGTCATACCAAAAGACGTTAAAATATGGTACTTGTTGTTACCCTGTCTAGCGCTCGGCATAAGGGGCTAAAGCAAGGACTGGTCGGCTCGGAGTAAGTATACTGTGTCTAAGTGGGGTATTCATGTTAAAATGCGGCATGGTATCTCAGTGGGCTAGCACTATAAAGTCTGGACTAGTACAAGCAGCCACATACACCCACTATACACCCGCTATATAAGTGCAATAATCTTAGACGCGACGTTAAACCCAATTTCACTTCAACAAGTCATTGTAGTATTGTAGTAGGCTAGTGCTTCTTCTTATACGACCGATGCTGGAAGGTCTCTACAGACATCTTCGGTTATTAATAAACTGAAAGACATCAGGCTCCGTGGAGTGACGGAAACTGTATAAATTATCCATCTCAAGTTGTCGAGACATTATAAGCCGAGCGAGTGTGTTTTCGTATCATAAATACCATATATTTGGAATAACACTGTATTGTGCTAGTCTTTGGCTTATAAAACTCGCAAGAATACAATGGATGAGCGAACCGCCCCATTTAACATGTAATGCCACATGATTTTCAGCCTTGTTTATTTCCATAAGCACGCATACATCGGGAAACCTCACTAAATACTTAAGAACATTAGCGAAGGTACTTGAGTACGAAGGCGTCGCATCGATGTACAGAGCCTACTGAAAGCACTCTCTGCTTGGTGGCTTCATTTGCATGTTTATCAGACCGTGATTTCCAGTGTATTGGGTCGGTCTATTTTATCAATAACACTAGTATCCATTTTATGATAATTTTTAAAATCGCAAGATCGTCAATTTGAAGTGCCCTTAAAATCTCTCGCTACTATACACTCCTTGAAGGCCTTCGCCAGTTTCTTCAAATAATACAGCCCATTTCTGGTGTCCCCCGCCGTGATATTGCTGGAATATTGCTAAAGGCGGCGTAAAACCATACTCACTTACTCTAATAACACAAAGATGGCAGTTTTAACGAAGGGATAACATCACTATAATGTTCACTAATGTGCCAGTTGACGAGAGTAAAGAGAACTTATCATTGACGGTCTTTTACTACATTATTCCTGCATTTGGATCTATTTCCCTTTAACACTGCATAGATCTTATATTTGTCAGTGTCTTTTGTATTTAAAAAAAAAAATTGTGGTTAAAGAATGGTGCCATTCTGGTATTTTAATTCTGGTAATGTAGCCATATATTTTGTTATGGTTAAATACTAGTTTTAAATACTTATTTGTGACAATCTAGTTGCTTTACTGTACATGGTCGACAGGTTTTTATTCAGTCAAAATGGATTTATTATCCATTGACATAACTTCTCAACACTATAGTCTTGGATGAAATACTGCCGGTGTGACTTTAGATTTGAACTCACTCACTGAAGCATCATTCGCAGTCATTATTCCATTTTAACTTCATCGACGTAATTGGTTTTGTAAGTTTTGTCGAGTCGATGTTATTGGTTCGCCACCAATCTCGTCAGCTCCGAGACTTACATCTAGCAACAATAAATGCTCCCTTGACACAATAACCGCTCCCGTTCAAAATGGCCGCCCACATGGGCCGACTTCGGCATGCCGTTTTGACAAATCAGACATTACTGAATAATTGGAGAGTCATCGTTTCTGATGTACTGCCGGTAGGTTCTGAACTTATGTTTTGTTGTCATGTTATAGGGAAATATGTTTGGAACTTCCCCAACCTTTGTCGCATAATGTTAACATCGATTCAAACATAGTGATCTAGATTTCGTGAGGGCATATCATTCGGTGTGGAGCCTGTTAATTTCTTAAGATCTGTGTTGTAAGAAAAGTAAGATCATCATTGCTATTGTCATCAGTTTTTAAACCCTTTTCAGATTCCTAGTGATAGAATGGCCATTACAGTTAACACTTATTTTGACACTATTTTCATTTTTTTTATGGTAAATGTTTTGTTATGCTATTGTTTTGCAATGAAAACACAAAATAAACAGACAGATATACAACTCTGGGCAACAATGCAGTTTACCGGGAGCAGCCCGAGCTCTACCATCCAGTCAATTACCGGGCTATAGTGCTACTGCTATCTCTCTATACCGTTACCGTGCCTCACGCTTTAGTGACTCTCGCTTCACGATCCAACACCCGTTTCTGATCTTAGGGAAACTTACACAACTTTACGATCCAAGACCCGTTTTCCAACACCCGCGATAGCGCTCTTGGTCCAGTGGTAGAGCGTCGGCTAATTAACGCATTAATTAGCCAAGCCCGTGAAGCCGGCGAAGCGCGTTCGAGCCCCCACAGCGCTAATTGGATCTGAAAAAGTGCGCCCCGTAAAGTGCACTACTCCCCAACTCTGCATCAGGGTGACCACGTAAACCAGAGGTCAAATCCAACCAATCTGCAGCTCATTTTGGACTCATGGCTTATGTAAATAACTAGGTTGGGGAGAAAAGTAACTTTACTATAGTCTCTCTGTATTTTCACTAGTCACTGACTCGTGGGCGTGTCTATCCATGGGTGAACTGCATTCTTGGCCCGGTATGGCTCACTGTCTGTCTTAATTCAATTGCTAAGTATTTTAATTTCAGAGACAATTTCACTACAGCTGCACATTAGATGCCGACACTCCAAGGCCATCCAAAGCATTTAACAAGCCAGCTCCAACAAAGGCAGAGAAGATTAGCAAGGCTATGAAAGCATACATAGAAAGAGCCCAAGCTCAAGGTACTCCATGTTAGCTTCATCAGGTGTAATGATAAAGTTATTGTTCGTTACCATTGTTAGGGATTTTGATGCCATTTTGCTTTCTTATAGGTAAAAAAAAAATCATTCTACATTAACCATGTTGACAAAGGGGTATGTTGCGGTTCCCTACAGAATCATCCATTCTGTAGTCTAGCCTTGCTATGGGTGGTATAGAAGGAATATTTCTAAAATATAAAGCTGTGTGAACAATATTCACTCACATTTTCCATGGCAAGTCACGTTCAGTACACGAAGGGATGGTAATAAGAAATATACATCACTGACATGGGATTTGCATGTTTGCATGATGTTTATTGGACATTTAGGAGGTGCATGAAAAGAAACCAGCTGCGTTTTGTTTGGATTATCTAAGTTTCATGACCTAGACTTTGTACTAATTAAGACTCTAACAAATTATTTCATTCTGTATGCTAGTAGCTACTACTTTTGTGGTGAGGTAATTTCATTAATTTTTCAAACAAGAAAAACTGATCAAAACAAATTATGTTAATTATCATTATCATGTCTTTGAAAGGCATTTAGAAGTGATACACATAAGGAAGAGAATATATGGATGTCCACTTCTTCGTTATGAGGAACACAACGTTTCGGAGTATATGCATACTCCTTCATCAGGTGAATGAATGCCATGAGGCAGAGAGTATATATATGCCATTGACATCAGGAGACACCAGCCAGCCATGAACCCTGACCAGGGAACCTATCTGCCTAGTGCTACGGACTTATTGCTTTGATCTTTGTGGGGGCTAATTGCCTTGCTGGCTTCAATTTGCCCCTTGCTATGTCCATTCTTTCACCTATCAGTGCTAATGGGTTGCTGAAGACCAGTTCTATCCCAGATCTTCATGGGTCATGTCTGGATGGCCTCTGAGCTCTGGTGGGTGGAGTGTCTGCCTGGAGAGCAGAAGGTCGGTGGTTTGAATCCCGACAGCATCATACCAAAAGTTCATAAAAGATGGAACTTGTTACCCTGCCTGGCGCTTGGCATTGAGGGAATAAATGAGGACTGGTCAGCTCAGAGGCATGGTTTCTTTTGTGGGCTAGCACTGTAAAACCGGTATTAGTCCGGAGAAGTTCAATCAGACACACACATGCATGTCGCTATAAAAGTGCAGTAATCTTGAACACGACACTTACCCCATTTCACCTCACCTCACACATTGCCATTTTGTCGAGGTTTACAATGTTTCTTCCATAGGCTGAGAGGACTTATTTCTGTATTCGACGTAATAAGCGCCCAGCTCTAATAAGCGCCCACGGCGATATTTGCTAATATATTGGCTAGTGAACAATCCCAATTAGCACCCTTCCAATTGATCAATGTATGTAAATAAATGACTTATTTATTTGTGTATGATACGCAATCATGTGTTATATGCACCCATAATTACGGGCAATTAAATTATGGAAAAATATATCTCTCATGTATAATATGCATAAAATTTTCTTTTGTATCATTTCAGGCTGTCAGAATAAACCACAAAATTTACCATCTTTCAACTCTTTCACCAAAATTATATTCTAATAAAAGTCCCCTATTTCTAAATTTGAGAGCGCCTTAGGCGCTTATTACGTCGAATACGATATTATAACAGTTAGCAGTAATATCAGTACTCACAGATTGTTGGGTATTAACAGTTTCTTGGCCCTGTCCTGCCTCAAGAATCTCTAATTTTGTGAGGGTCAAATCTTTCTCCCATGCTTTACTCACCCACTTAGTGCCTTGATATTTTATTTCACCATATTTTCAGATGAAATGTTGAAAAGGGAGACTGCTGACTATGAGATTGGAAAACGACACCTTGCAAATATCATGGGCCTTGACCCTGAACATATGACTGACCGCCAGGTGAAGGTATGTGTACAGAACTCAACAAGCTAGTTATTCCTTCTTTCAGTGGCATTTAGAATTTGGTGTGATGAAGAAAGACAAGTTCTATGGATGAACAACTTCTTTATTACAATTAGTGCGACGTTTCGGTGTAGATCCTAACCCCTACCCATTAGAATAAAAGAACGCAAGACATCAGTACAAAAAAATGACTCAAAATCAGCCATCTCCGACCACACCCAAACCCACCCCGACCACAACATCCAGTTGAACAACATCAAGATCCTGGCCAACAATCAATCAGACTACAAAATCAGGAAACTCCTAGAAGCCATCTACATCAAAAGGATCCAGCCAGCAATGAACAGAGACCAAGGCTATTACATCCCGCCTGCTTACCATCACCTAATTGCTAAATCCCTATGTCCATCCAATTAATCCACTGGCTTCCATCATCTCTATCAGTCTGCTTGCAGACTCTGTGTCCATTTGTCATCCACTGGCTTCCAATTATCTTAATCAGCTCTCTGTGTCCATCAATCAATTTACTGTATAAACATTGATGTTAATAAGTATATATACCTATGTTGTTTAGCACTATCTCCGTGTGCGAAATACGCATCAGTCGGAAAGCGCATGTTAAATCTCCAACGTAAGTAAGTAAGCACTATCCACCGTGTGCGAAATACGCTAGAAGTCGGAAAGCGCACGTTAAATCTCCAATGTAAGTAAGTAAGTAAGCACTATCCATCACTTGCTTGATAACGGTGTTAGGATCTACACCGAAACGTCGCACTAATTGTAATAAAGAAGTTGTTCTTCCATAGAACTTATCTTACTTAACCTGGTTATTCATGGGTAGCAGATAACGGTCCATGTAGGCCTGTTGCAATACAACTTGTCACACTTGTAGTAACACTGTTACTGTGGTAATCTGGTGGTAAATGTGTGACACAGTTGCAGTACAGTTTGACATTCTTGTCATTACAGTCAATTAGGATGGTGTATCCCATGATTACAATGTGTGACATAGTGATTGTGAGTCATTGTACCCCGATGACGTGGATTGCTGCTAATTTTTCTAACCACTAACTTGTCTGCCATACATTTCATTATTTTGCTTACTGCATCCAAAAACAAGATTCACTCCGTCCAGCATGCAATACATGAGTCACAGTTTGGTTGTTTGTTGTTTAATGCCGCACTCAGCAATATTCCAGCTATATGACGGCGGTCTGTAAATAATCGAGTCTGGACCAAACAATCCAGTGATTGACATCATGAACATCTACGCAATTGAGATATGACATCAACCAAGTCAGCAAGCCCGTTAGTCACCTCATTCGACAAGCATAGTCACCTTTTACAGCGAGCATGGGTTGCTGAAGACTTCTTCTACACGGTGGTGTAGCCTTGTGGTCAAAGCGTTGGCTCGTCACGCCGAAGATCCGGGTTTGATTCCCCACATGGGTACAATGTGTGAAGCCCATTTTCCGGTGTGCCCCACCGTGATATTGCTAAAAGTGGCGTAAAACCATATTCACTCACTCACTCACTCTTTTCACAAAATGAATTAACATTTTGAGATTTCAAAATAAAACAAAATAATGTTTTAGATGTATATTAGAGTTTTAACTATAGGCTTGACTTCGAAAGTGAATTAGCTCGTATTTGTGTTTCGGAAATTAGCTCCATTGTATGCATGCTGAAAAAGCTTCATTGGGTATTTACGCATGCTGTTTTTATACATAATGCGGGGGGATATAGTGATCAGTCAGTCTGTCTGTCTGTCCGTCTGTCCGTCTGTCCGTCTGTCCGTCTGTCCAGGCATAACTCGAAAACCATTCAGTGTATTTGATCGAAACTTGGCAAATCTATCAGTCACATACTGAAGTGGTGCCTTTTGCTATTTAGGAATTTTAGAAAAAAAATTTTTTACGTTTCCATGGCAACAAGTTGGACTTAAGTTCTATAATGGTGGTGTTCATCTCCGGAGCATAACTCAAAACCCATTCAATACTTTCTAACAAAACTTTACATGTCTACCAGGCACATACTGAACTGGTGCCTTTTGCTATTTAGGAATTTTAGAAATTTTTAATTTTTATGTTTCCATGGCAACAAGTTGGATTTAAGGTTTAATATAGGGTGGGTTCACTTATCATGCTTATGGAGTATAACAAATAAACTGTTAAATTTTCCCTGCCAAACATTGCATGTCTATGTATAAAACACATACTGAAATGGTGCCATTTGATATTAAGGAGTTTTAGAAATATTTATTTTAGAATTTCCATTGGACATGGGCGAAGAGAAATGTTGGGTCAGTTACCTGGTTTGGGACCATAACGTGTTAAAATGGGCGGAGGATATAGATGACTTCAATGACTATACGCTTGTTTAGTTATTGTTTCTTTTAATTTGTCTTTTGTTTGCATAAAAAAAACCCACAGAAACACACTTGTTTTACTTTCCATTTCATATGGATGCGACCATGGTTGATCTTTTGTGGGTAAACAATGTATGTTTCTTCAAGAACATTCAACTCTTGACTCATTACATACAGAATTGCACATTTACTTGTGGTTACTCTACAGACAGCTGCCGGAGGGATATGTCATCTTTCTGATGACTCTTGTTTATTTAAAGCATGCGTTTCTGTACGCAAGTTAATTGAACGTAATTGGGTTTTGAATATTTGAGGGTATTTAACACAAATACGCAGCTTATCTGTAGCTCTGGTGTATATATATATATGTCATCTTTGGTTGCCATGGTTGCAGCACTAATATAATTGTAACATAATCAATCACTGATGTTAGGATTCTGGGGTTGGAAACTGAAACCAATCAATTATCCAGAAAAGAAATCTATTAATCATGTTAATTGGAACCAAATGACTTGTTGTGTGTCATCTGAAAATATCATTTAACAATTTATGTTCGAACAATAGCCATCATCATAACGTCCACCTAATTATTATCATATTCAGGTATTTTATTGTATTGTTTCATGACTTTCAACAGGAAATTGTAGGACACATTGTAGATATTACAACCCTATGTTGTAATCATGGTACTAATGGCAATGCCGCCTTAATCATATCGTTATGGCAATGATATTGCAGACAACAGCAAAACAATTACTCCCTGTGTGACATCTTGGATCACCTTTGGTTTGTCTGGTACTGGTTTGGTCGTGGTTACCATGGTAACCATTGCTGATTGTGACCATATTAATGTTGCTGACTACACAGACAATTCCTGTGTCATGCTCACATGCTCATTGCTTGTTAAATACTAGGGGTGTCATGATAAATCGAAATATCGATTTATTGCTATTGGTAAGTACTTAAAGTCAATAAATTGATTGTTAAATCAGTTTCCGATTAATAGTATCGATTTTAGTTAGGAGTATTGATAGTTTCGATTGTATTTACCATATCAATAAAATACATGCAATGCTGGTCAAATTTGTTTTTCTTTTGATCATGAGTGGTAGTAATTCACACAGACACGGTAATGCGGAAGTTTCTTAAATTAGGGTAAACAAAAAGACAAAACAAATCAGTCATATCTCAAACTTTACTTTTTTGTTGTTGTTATGGTTATCACATTCAAAGGAAACTTCAGTTCCAAGGTTTAATTCAACTCTAAAATCCATCTAAAATGATACACTGAAAACTATCGATATTTATCGCAATACTTGCTTGCAATAACAATAGTTATCGCAATAGTTTCTTTCAATATCAATAGTTATCGCAATAGTGATTATCAGACCAATAGTCACCCCTATTTAATACTTATGTGCTGTTGTTTTCAGGAATCTATCCAGTACCTGCTGCCGTCAGGACTGTATGATCTGCCTTCCAGACCGCTGATGAAGGTGGGACCTCCTTCTGTATTGGTAGAATAGAAACAGAATCTTTACAAAATTAGCAGGATTGAAATGTACCCAGCATGAGCCTATCTTCCCCAGGCAAGAGAGTTAACTGACTAAAAAGTCCAGTTTCCACCCTTGACGAACTAGGCTGGTATTATGGAGTTTCGTTTTGGCTGGACTAACGAGTCTTTGCATAGTCCAATCAAGATTGCGCAACGAAATCGAAATCCAGTTCGTAAACTGCCATGCAGATTTCGGTCGATCGCAGGATTTGCAAAGCATGTGCACCGCCATCTTCCCGAGGCAAGAGAGTTAACTGACTATAAAAGTCCAGTTTCCATCCTTGCCGAACTAGGCTGGTATTATGGAGTTACATTTTGGCTGGACTAACAAGTTTATGCATAGTCCAATCAAAATCTCTCACCGAAATTTAAATCCGGTTTGTAAACTGTCGTGCAGATTTCGGTCGATTGCAGGATTGCAAAGCATGTGTACCGCCAACTAATTGTCAGCAGATATTTTCCAAATCTTTTCATGTTTTGAATCAAGGTGCTATCATGATTTGATGCATTTCGCGATGTGAGACCCGTGTTATCACAGTATAGATCTTGATTTTTTTGTGTGAAGCAAACGCAAGTGATATGAGAGGTGGAAGCTTATTGGTCCATAGGACAGACTCAGAAGGGACATAACTGGTAATAGCCACTGGTGGCTCTACGATCGAGTAATTCCAGCCTAGTTGGGCAAGGGTGGAAACTGGACTTTTAAAGTTAGTTAACTCTTTTGCCTCGGGAAGATGGTGTACAGCCAACTTGTTGTCAACAGATATTTTCTATATCTTTTCATGTTTTTAATCAAGGTGCCCACATGATTTGATGTACTTCGCGATGTAAGACCCGTTTTATCACAATATAGATCTTGATAATTGATCAGACCATCTTGACAGGGTGCCGCCATCTTGTTTAAAGCAAACACAAGTGATACAAGAGGTGGAATCTGATTGGTCCATAGGAGAGGCATAGTTGGGACATAACTCGTAATAACCACTGGTGGCACTACGATCGAGTCCAGGAATTCCAGCCTAGTTCGGCAAGGGTGGAAACGGGACATTTAAAGTCAGTTAACTCTCTTGCCTCGGGAAGATGACATGAGCCTGACTGCCATGACGTGTGTATATATCATAAATATGGCAAGATATGCCTCTGGATGTTTTAGAGACTGATAATTTATATTTTCAACATCCTCATAAAGTTAACCAGGGCTCATGTTAAGTTTTTAAGCCAATAATAATAATAATAATAATAATAATAAGGCCTTTATAATGAGACAAATTACTGCAGTAACGTTTATGTACCAGAATGTGTAATGCTTACATTCATTCAGTAAACAGAAATATGTACAGAAATACATGTACGCAAGATGAGAAGGACACATTGGTTAATTACTCAGAGTGTTGTGCTATTGATTTAAGAACAAGGAATTCATGCAAATCTGCTTATTTTAAGGCAAAAATTAATTAGGTAACTGTTATTTATTTTGTGTATTTCACGCAAATACATTGCTTGTCACTGCTTATCTGCAGCTCTGTGTAACTATGATGTAAAGGAGTGGTGGGTAGTCTAGTGGTTCAAGTTATTAAGTGTTGGCTTCATGACCTGGGTTTGATTCCTCATATTGATTCAATGAGAGAAGTCCAGTTTGCTTGGTGCCCCTCCCTGTGATATGGCTTGAATATTGCTGAACATGACGTAAAACCAAACACGCTTCCTCACTCACCACATACTATTAAACATTGTAACAAAATTATTAGCTTAACCAACCTAATATGTCGTGATTATCAGTTGCTTGAACTACTCTTTCAGCCACCTCAAAAAGTCTTTCCAAAACGAAAAGGTAATTTGAATTTCATTTCATGAAAGAGTCAAAATATGTCATTAACAATGTTCTTCATGAAGATTTCGGGGTAGAATAGATCTTCAGCAACCCATGCTTGCCTTAAGGGGTGACTGCCTGGATCGTGTGGTCAGGCTCTCTGACTTTATTGATGCATGTCATCGTATTCCAATTCTGTGGATCGATGCTCATGATGTCAATCACTTGATTGTTTGTTCAGACTTGATTATTTACAGACTGCTGTCACATAGCTGGAATATTGCTGAGAGTTTGGTGGTGTTAAGCAACAACCAAACAGACATTAACAATGTAAAAGAAATCTGATTGTGAGTTTCAATTCTTTGTGTGAAAGTATTGATATGACAACATGAACATTATATACTTGATATTTTAACAGAAACCTTTCACTTTTCATAATTTCTACCTGGATTTAACCAACAACATTTGTAGGTTGTCATAGAAACGTAAGATGTTGGTCATCATCCCATGTTTAATGACTTCTCCACACTCCAGAATTAATGGTGACATGTTTCCTCTGTTATCAGATGCGCAGTTTGGGATGGATGGACGGCCTTTCCACTCCTTCTTCTACACCGGCAAGCCTCAGTTCTATGAGCTGCTCCACGTGAGTGTGTTGTACAGATGGAGATACTGTGGAGTCCTCCTCATCATGGTCCCGTTAGGATGGTTATTGTGGTTGAAATAGGATACCAGTGTATTGTCAAGGTGCATAATGGGATTCGGATGGTCACAGAGGCTGCCAAGTAGTATCAGGTCATTGTGTGCAACTCATTGTGTGCAACTGCATTGTGTGCAGCTCATTCTTTGTCAGCGCATTGTTTGTCAGCTCATTGTGTGCAACTCATTGTTTGTCAGCAAGTTGTTTGTCAGCACATTGTCAGCTGATTGTGTGCAACTCATTGTTTGTCAGCCACTCATTGTTGTCGGCAACTCATTGTTTGTCAGCAACTCATTGTTTGTCAGCCACTCATTGTTGTCAGCCACTCATTGTTGTCAGCAACTCATTTTTACAATCTACAAAGTCCATGGTTTGATTGAACTAACCTCGTGATTACTTTTTGTTGGATCCCATGGTGAAAACATTCTATTTCAACTATAACATAGACACTAATTATCTCATTTCATGGCCTGTGTTAGAAGTGGCCCACAGCACTCCATTGATTGTTGCAACTAAATTGGATCGGGTGGGCGGTGCAGTGGCGAATCTGTCATAGTAACCCAGTGGCCTTGGCTGTTGCTCATAAAATCAACCACTGCTTTATCCGGCCAGACTGGATTCGTCACAGGCCTTTATATGAAATGGGAGTTAAGGTCACATTCAACATCATTGCACCTACATTGGAAAGTGGATGCATGTGTGTGTGTGTGTGTGACTGTGTGTGACTGTGTGTGATTGTACTTGTTCACACTCTATAGGGCTCGCCCACTGAGATAACATGCAGTTGAACCAGCCAGCCCTTGTTTCATCTCCTTAATGTTGAACGCAAGGCAGTGTAACCACAAGTACCATCTTTTGGTATGATGGGACGAGGCATCAAACCTTGGCCTTCCACTCTCTGGGCAGACGCTCTGTCCACGAGATCATGGGGGCGGTCACCGTGGCATCAAGGCTTGGTCAGAAACAACTGACCAGTGCTGACAGCTACATATTACAGTGGATAATTCCTCAGTAATACCTAGCAACTGGGTGTGGCGATTCCACTCTAGGCGGTGAAGTAGTCCTTTTACATGTTCTTTTCTGGTTTCCCTAAATTACGTATTATGTATTTTTAAACTTATCCTATCTCACATTGTGTATTCTTTCTTCTTCTTTCAATATGGAAACATGGTTGTCAAAGTTTCCAACTTCTAAAAACAATTCACCCAAGCACATCTCAGCATCATTATGGTCAGCATCCAAACAAATGGGTTTTGCACTGTAATCCTGTGCGTTGTGAGCTTACACGGCATGATCACTAGACTACCACCCCTCCCCCCTGCCACATCATTGTCTTTCTCATTTCCACCCCGTGGAGACATGTATTGAGTTTTAGAGAATACATTTTTGTGTGTGCATTTGTGAGCTACCTCCTCATTCATATCAACTTTTACGACACTAACTTGAAGGGAAGATAGGAACAGAACATGAAAACGTTCAGCCTGTCTAAATTGCAGGTATATTTACTCCTCTGCTGATCCTCCTTATCACTGTTGTGGTTGTCGCGGCCGTTGCTATGAAGACAAACGATGTTCCTAGTGTTCCAACCTCATGGAGGTAGCTTTCAATTTATTCTTCCGCAAATGCCACAAGAGTGATGTTGACCACTGGTCGAAGTCTACAGATGTGGTGACTCCACTACCAAGAAGTCACCAAGCCGGCTGTCTCCTCCTTCGTTCCAGCCGTGACACTACCTGAGGTGTGTACCGTACCCTCCATCGTTCCAGCCGTGAAACTACCTGAGGTGTGTACCGTACCCTCCTTGTCGGTTTATGATGATGGCATCTCCTTCAGCTTCCTCTGTGACGACATTTCCACCAAATCGGACCAGCCATCTCTCCCCAGTGTGCCCGTGTTCACACCTGCGATGGAGCAACCAGCAGCTTTGGACATTCGTATGGTTCTATCTAAGGACAACTCGTCCAAGCCAGATTCGACAGACCCTACTGTTGACCTTCCTAGCACACCCGCCGGTACCTCCTCGCACCGTCACTTCGACTTCCTCACTGGCTGCTCATTTGGATTTGAATCAGAATTCCCCCTCCTGATCTACTGGGAACTTTGACAATGTGGTTGGATTGCAGACAGACTTCAGTTGCAGTGAAGTACTTCAGTGGGTGACCAGCTATCATGTTTCATCATACCGAATGCTGGTTCCTCTGCCATCACGCTGCCTCCCAGTTGGTGACCATGATGATGCCGGGATGTGTTTGGATGAATCCTTTTTGAAAGCTGGAAACTTTGTGCAAGCAAAAAAAAAGCAAAAAAGTATATAAATATTTAATTTATTGTGATTTTTTTTATTTCATTCCAATGTCGTGTCATTTCAAGTCTATGAGTTGTTAATGTCTAATTTAGAAAGTGACATGGAAGCTTGAGGCCCTGAAGAAAGAAGAGGACAAACTCCGTGATTCGGGTGCATTGTTTGAGACTGAAGAGAAGACAGAGAAGTTGTAAGTACCCTTGTTTTACTCCCAGCTAGTAAATCCTTTGCATAATCCGATTTCAGTTATTCCAACTTGAGGGGCATGGGGTAGCCTAGTGGTTAAAGCATTTGCTCGTCACGCCAAAGACCCAGGTTCGATTCCCAACATGGGTACAATGTGTGAAGCCCATTTCTGGTGTCCCCCACCGTGATATTGCTGGAATATTGCTAAAAGCAACGTAAAACCATACTCACTCACTCACTCACTATTCCAGCTTGAACCTTGCAAGGACAATGTCAGAACAGATTCCCAGTACTCATGAACACTTACCTGGTTGATTGTGACAATGTACTGACAGCTTGGGACTTATCAACCACTTGTTTGTCTGGGCCAGACTTGATTATTTACAGGCCTCCATGATACAGCTGGTTTATTGCTGACTGGGAAGTAAAACAACAAACAAATAATATTCATGCCTGACAAACTCTGTTACAAGTGATGTCTGAAAAGCTCTGAGTCCAACTATGATGTATGGCACACCCCTAACAGTTGGCAAGTACACTACTTTCCATGTTTACATGCTGCATTTAAACCAAATACACAATCAGGCAGCATATTTCTTCAGGCATAAACAGGTATTCTGTTGAAGAAAACGGACATAATTGTCATCAAGTTCCCCCAACACCTGTTCATGTGACCATGCCATGGTCAGCAATATTCCAGCTGTGTGACGGCGGTCTGTAAATAATCCAGTCTGGACCAGACATTCCAGTGATTGACATGCTGCATATCGATCCACAATATTGGGATGTGAAGACATGCAATCAACCGAGTCACTGAGCCTTCATGACAAGGAGGGGGCACGAGTGGCCCAGTCGTCTAAGGCGCCGCGATTCACTGTGCAGAGTTGCGTCCCCTGGACACGCCAGAAACCTATGATTGTGGGTTCGAATCCCTGTTCACCCCGATTATGTTTCTAGGTTTGTCAGCACCATACCCGTGCTCGTGGGTTTCACCGAAGTGGTAAACGTCTGAGACCTGCATCACTTCGGGCTTTCCTCCTACATTAAGTTGACACGCCGTGATATAACAGGAATAATGTTAAAAGCGGCGTTAAACCCAACTCACTCACTCACTCACTCACTCAGCATAGGTTTCTTGGGACCTATATTATTACCCAGAATCCCATACAGAGATATCTGTGTTTAAAAATAATATTCTGAAATTGCTACCGTAACTATACAGTCTGGCACAATTCTGGCGAATTTTGTGAGCTCAATATTTAACCATGACCATGTTCCAATAATCACAATGCTAAGGCAACCATGTCTCTCAAGTACTGTGTGTAATACAGATCTCTACATGAGAATGAGTGGATCAGCTATGACACCTTGAAGGCCAGGGTAATGGAAGACATCAGTCAACAAGATGTAAGTATGTATGGTGTATTATGGATGTATTCTGACTGATTGCTCGGTGGCCAACTAAGTGTGCAGAAGAGAGAAGGTGGCACAGTGGTGGAAGGCAGGTCAACTTACTGAGTTACTTCCCTTGGTTGTACCAGGAGATTCCTGAGTAACAGTAATCTAGTCATTGAAAACAGGCTTTTGCTGACATACAGCAAGTTACCTTTATTTCCATGACAAAAAAAGTTAAATAAAACAGCAAAACAGCCAATCATCACAGCCATTTGGGTCTTAATCATTTTTTTATATATAAAAAATATTATTGGTCATTGGTTGATGTGTGTCATGCTTAACTGAAAATTGTCCTGTTTGATGTACATTTAATACACAAATATTTATAAAAAAAATTCGAAAACAAGGACCCTCGGACAGAACCCCTTCGGTGGTCTGACCGCAGGTGTCAGGTCCTCAGATCTTTGTTTTCACATTATGACCTCTGTTGGTACTTGTTTTGTTATAAGGCATTTGAAAGCGATCTTTGAATTCCTCAGATAGATTGTCGATCAGTGTATTGCCACTCGCAGAAGCCATGTAGATTTCTATGTTGATCACATGACAGGTCAATAGTGATCAAGTGAGAAGTCAGTATTTGAGTCAGTTCCTCTCACATGATTTCACCAAAACCAGTTTTGTATCTCTATTGTATAAAATGGATGAACCAATGAAATTAAGAGATTCTTACTGGAGGTACAACAATGTGTAAAGCCACAGCACTTGTCTGTTTACTTCAGTATGGCCAGTTCCTGAAGCTGATGACGAGGTTTGTTGAACATCCGCTAGCCCACAAGGAGGCCAGGTACATCATGAAGTTCCGGCAGCGATTGAACCGACAGAACTTTGGCGACAAGATTAAACCTGTGAGTCTTATCATGGTACTGATGAAACACCTGCTGACACCAGGAACACTGTACCTGAAACAATATGGCCTTTTTATTTAGTTTGCAGACTGTTTCACAAAAAAAACCCAGAATTTTAGTGATTAAAATGAAATTATACATTAAATATTTGAAAACAGTTTTGTTGAAACTAATATCTTCAATGTATAATTGTTCGAGTGTAATAAAGAATTAAGAGAAAAGATTTTTTTTAATGGCAAGTTGAAAGGTTAATTCCCTTACTTTAATGAGCTGCTTTGATTTTCATCAGTATTGAAATTAGTTAATAGATTTACGATTATGATTTAAGTAATGAAAAATGGAATTAAAAAGACAGTCACTTCACTGTGATTTCTCATAGACATTGTACTTATGAGTGCAGATATCACTGCATACAACATCCATCCCACTGTGAATTGTCATTGGTGTTGTACTTAGTCATGAGTGAAAATATCACTGCATACAACATCCAGCCTACCGTGAATTGTCATAGGTGTTGTACTTACTTATGAGTGAAAATACACAACTTATTTCCAATGTCTCTGAATGCATTGCATTTTAAATGCTTTACATTGACTGATGTATTTGTTGCAGCTGAAGACAGCTAAAGATGGAAGGAGTTTTATGACTGCTGAAGGTAAGTGATGTTGATCCTGCTTCAATGACAGAAGTATAAATTGAACAGTCGAATCCTGTCGTGTAAAAACTGGATACCTAGAAAAAACTGACAGTTTTGGCTCAGTCTCATGTCTTATCCACTTAACAAGGGTCGTCTGTAAATTGAACAAGTCAAAATATTTTCAGGTGCAAGTATATTCCTCAAACGTGTCAGTCCACCCAATCACTGCTTATCTTCAATTTTTTTTAAGTCAAATATATCAATGTATTCATTTTTTTCAAAATTAAGTTTAAACATCAAGGTGCCATGGTGACAGGTGTACAATTGTTACTCATGCCCAGATTTATTGCATTTACTCCCTACAATGTCCTCTTGATGTTTCGCGAGATCTCCACGTAGAGAGGTATCGTATCGAGGTGACAGATCTAATTTGCAGGAGATACTGTAAATCTTGAAATTAAGGCGAGCATCAATTAAATGCAAAAAATGTGAATGGTCTTCGCTCAAGTTAATGAAACTTCACATTTATGTCTCCAAAATGACTGTTAACAATAAGACGGCGTGACTGCACACTTTGGATAGTGGAAATACCAACTTGAATATAAACACAAACACGGTTTATTGAGCAGCAGTTATAAGTGCAAACCAATGTCATATAAAGACTAGGAATTACACAATAGGCATCCAGTGAGTTATCACTGCTGGGGTCAAGAGTTCTACCCACTCGTGTCAAAGTAGGCATTATTGACCTCTCCAATCAGTGAACTGTTGTTGGTTTAATTATTTTATTACCCTTTGAACTTACTTAATGCCAGTCAGCAGAATAAACATGTAAACTGTGTGTTGTTTTTAGGAAAACACATTACGGCTGTGCTTTTCTAATAGCACCGCTTATTAGCTGTTTGACTGGGTTAAGGTAAGGTACGATTCCACTTGGGATGGGGTGGGTAGTCGCATTGATTTTGAGTAACATTTTGGGGGTCAGTAGTCGTATTATTTTGGAGACGCATTAATTTCAAGATTTACAGTATTTGAATGGGCACTTTTCCTTAACTAAACAACCTAATGGCCACAACATTGTGAAGAAAGACCCGGGGTTTACAAATGGTCATCAGCAACTCATGTTTGCTAAAGGAATCGGGTTGTCAGACTTGCTGACTTTGTTGTTACATTTCATTGTATCTGAGGTGCGTAGGTCAATGCTGATGATGTCAATCACAGGTTTGTGTGGTCCAGACTCGATTATTTACAGGCCGCTGTATGGTTTGAATAATATAAATCTTGACATCAACGCGAGCGTGAATTAAATGCAAAAAATGTGAGTGGTCTTTGCTCGCATTAATTAACTTTTCAAAATGACTATGAACAATAAGACGGCCTCACTGCACACATAGTGAAAATACCAACTTGAATAATAACACAAACATGGTTTATTGAGCAGCAGTTGTAACAAGTATATAACAATGTCATTCAAACAATAGGAATTACACAATGGGCATCCGGTGAGTTATCACTGCTGGGATCAAGAGTTTCTACCCACTCGTGTCAAGCTTGACACCTTCAGTGAAATGGTGTTCATTCAATCAATTTTCCTTTTGAAATAAAGTCAAAAGAGTAAACATATAAACTGTGTGTTGTTTTTAGAAAGACACTGTTTATTGTTTTTACGGAAGTGCTCTTGTCAGTGCTAATAAGCAGCGCTATTTGCTGTTTGATTGGATTAAGGTAAGGTTGAATTAAGATATGCATCATTCCACTGGGGATGGGTTGGGGGGGAGTCGCATTGATATTGAGTTGCATTTTTGGCTAGGGGTCAGAGACGCATTAATTTGCTGAGTGTGACAAATGAATAATGAAAAGAATGATGAATGATTCTGCTCAGGTTATCGTAAAAGTGCTGTGGCTGATGTGACAGTACGAGGACACGGTTCAGGGAGGGTGGCCATCAACGGTTCAGACTTGGAGTATTTCTCTCTCAGTATGCACAGGTAAGATGCCATGAAATCAGTTGCCATATAAAAGCTTACGTCCCAGGTTCTGGATGAGAATATTTGTTGTAAGAGTCCACTGAGGAATCAAGAAAGGCTTCGACAAATCACTTAGCTCTCAGTTACAAATAGAGTGTCTTTTGATATAATATATATCAAATCATGTTGAAATATTTGATATCAAAATACACAAGGGTGAGATTTTATTTATCATCCAACATCATTCTTCCTACTTTTTCAGTTTGTGTTAAGTAATAAGCAGTGTCTTAAGTGTTAAAAGTACTGCTGACAGCTTCAGTAGCAGAGCCATAAGTGATGTCATTTGATTGTGATGTCATTGTGACCTTTGTAGTTACAATGCTTTTCAAAGCAATGCAATTTCATTGCAGCGATATCTACAATGCATATATCGCTTGATCTCACCCAAGCCATATCTCATGTGGGAGCCAGTTTGGGATGATAAATTATCTTGTCCTATTTGGATAATGATTTGAAGTAGAGGTGTAACAATAAGTATCCCGATACTGTGTGTGCGTAGGAAACTTGTTGCTACGATCTGTATATCATAGCAAATCTCCAATATACAATCTTTAATCTTTTCAGAGAGCAGATCATGTTTCCTATCCAGTTTGTCAACATGCTAGGTGAAATTGACATTGAAAGCCAAGTATCTGGTGGTGGATCCAGCAGTCAGGCAGGGGCAATTCGTCTCGGACTGGCGCAAGCACTGACCAGCTTTGTCAGCCCAGATGTAGTGGAGAAAATGAGACTTGGTTGGTGATATGTTAATGCTGATCAATGTTCTTTCATGGATCTATCTAGAACTCCAAATTAGGTGCCCTTGCCAGGCAAATTAGGAAAAATCATTACTTTGTTCAGAATTTGGATATTTTCTCAAGCTATTATTTTCATAAACTCAGAGGTATGTTAAAATTGAATTTTAACATTGCATACAGTGCAATAATGTTAAACTAAGCATTAAAACCTCTTACTCCATATTGGTCTTGTGAAATACAAGTCACCTTACAAAGCCATAATGTGTGACTATAACGGCATGAATTGGAAATATTTAATTCCAATTTGGGAAATATAACTGACATTTACTGCACACTTGGGTCCGAACATTGGCCTCTCAGCAGGTCTAGATAAATTCATGTCTTTGTTTGAACTTTTATTGCATTAATAATATTGGATTTTCTCTGAATCGTCTTGCAAATGTTAAACTGTCATTTGTTGAAAATCGCGATCAAACATGGAACTGTTGTTGCAAAGTGGATTCAGGAATTGCCAAACTCTATGTTTAGTTAGTGATGAGAGAGATGAAGATGGGGACTTCACTTCTTATGGCGGCGATTGGGTTCAGGGTAGTTATCATATATTGTGTTTCTCGACAGCTGGGCTGTTGACGAGGGACCCTAGAAGGAAGGAGAGAAAGAAGCCAGGTCAAGCTAAAGCGAGGAAGAAGTTTACATGGTTTGTACATAGGTCTAGAGTGAGAGAGCGGAGCAGAGTGGATGAGTGTGTTGTTAGGTTTTGACACCACTTTGAACGCTATCAAGTTATCACAGCATGCAAGCTTTAATAGGGACAACCTAGATCCAGATGATCTGTATAATTAAGTATTTTTATCCCCTGCCACAAAGTGTTATGTGACCTTCTAGCATCTCACAGGCAGCTTGGGGGCGGCCGGGTAGCCTAGTGGTTAAAGCGTTCACTCGTCACGCCGAAGACCTGGGTTCGATTCCTGACATGGGTACAATGTGTGAAGCCCATTTCTGGTGTCCCCCGCCGTGATATTGCTGGAATATTGCTACAAGCGGCGTAAAATCAAACTCACTCACTCACAGGCAGATTGGGTTATATACTCACCAGGGAGCTGAGAATGAAAATTGATTGCACACCAATCCATTGATCGGGGTAAAAATAATGTATGCTTTTAGCATGCCTCTTGGTTGTGTGGAAATATGGCGCAAGAGAAATGGCATTATTATAATTAGAGGTTGCTTTTATCATGATATCATGAAGGAAATCATAGATTCTGTGAGGCTTCAGGTGGCAGACAAACTACGGTCAAACATTGTTGTGTCAAACTTTAACGTGTCAAACTTATGCTTGTTTTGGAGTCAAAACTTGGACCTGCATATTCCCTCTTAATTGTTTGGTTGTATCAAACCTCAGATAACTCGAAATATTTATGTGTGTCCCTGAAACACATGGTCTTTGACTGTATACTAATGAATTTTCACATTCGGCACAATTAATTCTATGGACAGCTCATGTGATGATCACATGATAATGGTAATCACGTGTGAAATGCATTCTTCCAGATCAGCAGAAATCAGATCTCTTTGTGCATTCATATTTCTTTAAATACGTTGGAAATATGTTAAAATTTTGAAGAAGTATACAGTTTAGTTTAGTCCGATGTGTTTTCTTTTTCAGGAAAAAGAGATAACCGGAACGTATGACGTGAACAGCGTGTGTGATAGTCCAGATTGTAACTCAAATAGAGTAAAGTGTATACATGTGTAGTTGTCTTTGTTTTTATGAAATTGTTTATGAATGAAGGGAATAATTGTACTTGCATAACAGAGAGCCAAGCCTCTTTTGCTGTCTCGCCTGCTCCAAGTTCTCAACTTGTGGATGACATTGTTGTGCATCTGATTATGCACAAGTTGGGCCAAGTCAGAGCCCACCATTAAAGCAATTAAACAAGTAGCTTGAATCTTATAGTCCAGCTATCATGTGGTGGATAGAGTGTCTGCCTGGAGAGTGGAAGTTTGGTGGTTCAATACCCGTCCGCATCATAAGCAAAAGACATTAAAGGATGGTTTTTGTTGTTATTCTAAGTGGCGCTCGGCATTAAACAATGACTGGACAGCTTGGAGTCAGTGTCTGAATGGGTTATCCATCATGTTAAACTGAGGCATGGCATCTCTGGGGCAAGAGAGTTAACTGACTATAAAAGTCCAGTTTCCACCCTTGCCGAACTAGGCTGGTATTATGGAGTTACATTTTGACTGGACTAACGAATCTATGCATAGTCCAATCAAAATCTCGCACCGCAATCAAAATCCGGTTTGTAAACTGTCGTGCAGATTTTGATCGATTGCAGGATTTGCAAAGCATGTGCACCGCCAACTCATTGTCAGCAGATATTTTCCAAATCTTTTCATGTTTTTAATCAAGGTGCTCACGTGATTTGATGCATTTCGCGATGTAAGACCAGTTTTCTCAAAATATTGATCTCGATTATAGATCAGATCGTCCTGACTGGGCGCCACCAATTTGTGTGAAGCAAACGCAAGTGATACGAGAGGTGGAATCTGATTGGTCCATAGGAGAGGCTTAGAAGATACATAACTGGTAATAACTTCTGGTGGCGATCGAGCCCAGTAATTCCAGCCTTGTTCGGCAAGGGTGGAAACTGGACATTTAAAGTCAGTTAACTCTCTTGCCTCGGGAAGATGGATATAAAACCAGCATTTGTCCTGACTAATACAAGCGCGCACACACACACACACACATACACACACACAAGCGCACACACACACACGCACGCACACAAGCACACACACACACAAGCACACACACACATACACTGGTATGTAAGTGCAATATGATGAACATTAAACCCCATTTCACCTATTTGATATAAGTGTCGTTAGCCATTCGTACAAAACACATTCATTTCTGCTTCAAGGCTTACACCAATTATTTTGCCAGGGTTCAGTGACAATGAAACAAGTTCTTTGTAAAAGAATTGTTTCAAGATTCTACATCTGAAGATCCTGTGATCAGTGTTCAAAGCCAGTCTCGCTTGTGGGGATTTAGGGTCGGAAATACTATGAGCCAGTGTATACATTTGACAGTCTGAGACAAGTAGGGAGTCATATGCTGTGTCTTTCTTCCACCTCTGGTAGTTATCAGTGTCATAATTACTATTATGGCTTGAAGGGGCGGTAGTGTAGCCTATTGGTTAAAGCGTTCGCTTGTCACGCCAAAGACCCGGGTTTGATTCCCCACTTGGGTACAATATGTGAAGCCCATTTCTGGTGTCCCCCACCGTGATATTGCTGGAATATTGCTACAAGCGGCGTAAAACCATACTCACTGTTATGGCTTAAACTGACTGTCACACCTTTGGTCAAGACGAGTCTGAGCTGGGATTAACATCACTTCAGACTCTCTGGGTAGCTGGGTAGTGTACATGTGACAGAACATGACAGTGGTGCTGTCCTCTCTCCCAGTCGCCCCTATTCCCTGTTTCAAATCCGATGTGTAGCAGAGCGACAAATGACAATAAAGACTGTATATTTTTGGCAAGATTTAATAATAACGTTGTTAAGGAAAGAAAAGCTAAAACATTAATATTTTTCCATACTCTACGTATGTGTAACTCCTGCCCAAAAAAATGTCTAGCTACATATTATACAATTTTGCAAAAGAATGGAAACATGCACATTTGGTGTGTTCCGTCTGAACACTTTTATGGTCCAAAAACAAGGCAAGGTCAAGATTGTACAAGTCAAATTACATGATGAAAATATTCAACCAGTAATAAATCACATCGTAGAATTCCTTTTCAGGTGAGAAAGGATTCTGAGAATTAACTGCAACGTTTGGAACAGCTTGATATTACAGAATATGTTGATGGTCAAACTCCGTGGATAAGCCCTGTTATTGTAGTGCCCATGAAATAGGAAGGTGTGTAACTGTGTGTTGATATGCGAGTCAAACGCCGCCATCCGAATAGAGAGAAATATAACACCGAACATAGATGATCTGATTTGTGACTTAAATGGTTCCATTGTATTTAGCAAGATAGATCTTAATGCTGGATATCACCAGTTAGAACTGTACCCAGATAGCAGTTATATGACTACTTTTAGTACTCATGTTGGACTCCTACTTTACAAACGTGTGTCTTTTGGAATCAGTACCGACTCAGAAATATTTCAGAAGATATTCCTGGATGTCAGAACATCCCTGATGATATTATTGTTCATTGTAAAACAGAGAAACAGCATGATGGCATTCTGTGGGAAAGTTCTCAAGAGGCTTGAAGAAAATGGCGTTTGTCTGAACAAATCAAAATGTCAGTTTTGCGGTCGAAGACCACATATTTTGGTCATGTATTCAGAAAGTTGCGTGTCTCCAGATCCTGAAAAGGTCAAGTCGGTCGTCAATACATCAACACCGAGTGAAGCCAAATTCTTGCTTGGTGTGGCACAGTATGTGGCTAGATTCATCCAAGACTATGCCACAATCACTGAACCCCTACGATAGTTAACACGTCAAGATACTACATAAGAAAACGTACACCTTGACGGATAACAACTTCTGGTTTATTGTAGCGACGTTACTATATAGATTCTTACACCGTTACCAGACCTGAAATCCAAACATTAAATCAAAGCACACGTCTTAAAGATGCACTCAGCTCCACGAAAGTCAGTGACTATTTTGATCCAAGAAAGAAAATTAACTATTTGTTGATGCCAGGCTTGTAAGTGAAGGCGCCATACTCAGACATGAAGGAAGCATCTTAGTTATGCAAGTCATGCACTATCTGACATGGATACCACGCCTTCACAAACTGCACGCGAGATGTTGGCTGTTGTATGGACTGCAAAATATTTTCACCTGTACATGTATGGTGAAAATGTCAAAATAATCACTGATCACAAACATTTGTTGGGCATCTTCAAGAGTCGAAAGCCAGCATTTCTAAGAATAGAACGTTGAGAATACGACAGACTCCGTACAAGTATGAACTTGTCTATCAGTCTGGCAAGGATGAAAACAACCCTGCAGACAACACGAGTTTGCTAGCTCCATGCCGAATATTGGTGAAGAATACACCAACTATGTGTGCATGGATGCTGTACCAAAGGCTCTAGCATTTGCGGTAATTCAACAAGCAACAAGAGCCGATTCCACACTGCAATCTGTAATATCAGCTACGGAATCGAGAAGTTGGGACAGTGTTCGTTTGAAGCAGTTTGTTAACCTGAAAGAAGTGTCAGTGTACAATAGCGTTGTACTTCACAGTCATCGAATCGTTATTCCAGAATCACTCAGAGGTCAACCAGTTGAGCTCGCACACCTTGGACACCAAGGAATTGTAAAGACTTAGAGTCTAATACGCGAGACAGTCTGCTTTCCTGGCATTGATCAACTTGAAGAAGAGAATTGTAAGTGAGTGAATGATGGAGCGAGTTTAGTTAAAAGCCGCTTTGACCATAAAGAACAATTATATTTCCTCTTTACAGAACTCTATGACAAGCTATCGAAGCTAAGTCACTTAAATGGTACTGTTAGGAAATTGTGACCGGACATTTTAGAACAGTACGATAATTAAATAAGTAAGTTTGCCTTGGTTCGTCCACGAAGTCAATGTCACTGCACAGGGTATTTACTCGTTTCAGCGGAAAATAGTATGGCGGCCAAACATGATAAATAGAGAATCTCACCCAAGTGTCTTTTGATATCAAATATATCAACACTAGTTGATTAAAGTGGAAAGATTCCGAAGCTTGCCGAGGGTTGATATATTTGATATCAAAAGACACGAGAGTGAGATTTGATTTATCATCCAACATCATTCTTCCAACTTTTTCAGTTTGTAGACAGTAATAAGCAGTGTTGTAAGTGTAAAAAGTACTGCTTACAGCTTCAGTAGCAGAGCCATTAGTGATGTCATTTGATTGCGACGTCATGGTAACAAGACGTCCCAATGTTCTGCAAAGCATTGTGATGCAATTTCATTGCAGCGATATTTATAATGTAGATATCGCTTGATCTCACCCAAGCGATATCTCTTGTTTTGGATGGTAAATAGTAAACTTAGTACTTTTCAAGACAACCGATATTTCTCGGACCCTGCTATAATAGTCATATGACTGGAAAAAAATATAAGTTCATATATACGCATCTGGACGCTTGTATGATTGCACATGTAAAGCATTCGGAGGTGAATTGAGAGATGTACCCGTTGATTTAAAAAAAGTATTTGTGAAACGATCATCCATACATCCATATGCAATGAGTAAAAGACAAGGCGATGTAGGGCTTACCTCAAAAGTCCCGATGACATGAAAATTATTACTAATAAAACCCACCCAGCCATGCATTTTAATGTGATGTATTATTAGAGTGATTTGATATATTTTATTTTTATAAAAGTATTTAGCAAACCAAGAACTGGCATAAGTAATTAAGACTGCGCTTAAATGACAGACATTTTCATGAGCAACGATCCACTCCATCGCTGTGCGACACAATCAGTCATGTCTTCATCATGCACACAAATACTCAAAATAAATTATCAATAGTTTTAATATATATTTTAAAACTACTGATAATTTATTTTGAATATTTGTAGTATATATACACATGCACAAACGTTAAGCACCACCCACCATATTTGTTAGCTGTTACTTTTGGCACTTAATGATGACTATTATAACGAGATGTACGATTGTTATAAGCCGTATATGTAAACCTCATGTGATGCAAAAGTTGTCCCAAAGCAAGTTTATCTTGTGTTCCAAAAGAATATGAACAGAGAGGAGTTTCACAGAAGGCCAGAAAGTGAATGATTAGAAAACATTGAAAAACCTTTTATGATATCAGCAGACCATATCAGGTGTCACCCTAGGGAGTGCAGAGTCTATTGCAAGACAGAAACGTCAGTAACGTGTGTATGATCCACGGACATTGACCCCAGCTTCAACCCTACGCCTCATACTTATTACAAGTCGTTGAATGCTTCTCTGAGGCAAACGGATCCATTCTTCATGAAGTGCGGCTTCAAGTCCAGCGAGATTTTGAACTGGGGGATCACGATGTCTGATTTTTCGGCCAAGAATGTCCCAGAGATGCTCAATCGGATTAAGATCCGGACTACAGGCCGGCCAAGGAAGAGTGGCAATAGCTTCTTGACGCAAATAAGCCAAAACTGCCCGAGATCTGTGTGGTCTAGCATTGTCGTCCATGTAAACGGGTCTTGTCTGAAGAGGATGGTTGTCAAAATGAGGGACTACCACTGGACGAAGAACGGCATCTTAGTATTGTCGGGCATTCAAGTTTCCACGAATTGTCACCAGCGGAAGTTTGCAGCCGAAGGAAACACAACCCCATATCATGACAGACCCCCGCCACATGCTAAGGTCTTCTGGATGTTCCTTTGTGCAAAACGAGTGTTACGTTGCCTCCAAACAGGTATTCGACCATCAACAGTTCGTAGCAGCATTCGACACTCGTCAGACCAATGGATCCTTCGCCAGTTGGGCAAGTTCCATCGACTACGGGCACGACACCATATCAGACGATTCCGCATGGTCTCTCTGTCAGTTGAGGACGTTTTACTGGTCTTCTGGCGTTATAACCAGCCGCTCTGAGGCGACCCCTTACGGTCATCGTCTAGAGTTTCTGATGGGTAATCCACTGCAGTCTTAAATCTGTTGAAGTGGCAAATGGATTTCGACTGACTATCCTGAAAAGACGTCTATCCTCTCTGTTAGAGGTCTTTCTTGGCCTACCAGACCTATGCCTGTCATTGACATCATTGGTTTGACCATGTTTGACAATCAAACGAGTGATAACACAGTGATGACGACCTATTTGTCTTGCAATGGCCCTGCATGACATGCCAGCATTTTTCATGCCTATCACTTGCCATCTTTCAGCATTCGTTAACTTTCTCCTCACCATGGCTGATTTTCAACCTCTATTGGAAGGGAAATCTCACACAGGAGCAAAATGCAACCACGTCTGAAACTTGAATTTCACTATTTATAGGGTAGGGGATCTGCAGCAACACGTAAAGCACGCTTTCCTTGTGGTATCCGGACAAATTTGGGTTCATGAAACTATGGAAGCCTAAATCAGTCATACATCATCATATTTCGTATTTCTGATTCCCACACGTGAAATCAAGAGACTATAAATATGGTGGCGCTTAACTTTTGTGCATGTGTATATATATACAGGTTTTTAAGATAATTACATTTGCCTACTGTCATGTTTCCCACAGGAATTTGTCATCGTTTAGTATATCAGCGAGTTCCTTATTATATTCAGCATAAAAGTCGTGGAGTATTCTTCGTGTACTATTCTTCATATCAAGCGCATTTCTTTTAGATTTGGTCTCATGCTGCTTTTTAAGTTGTGCGAGGTTGTCCATAGCCGTCACGTTCAGTGGAGCTGAAAATACATGGATTGACTATTACAGGATTTTATCATGAATATAGGTATATGAATATTAATGATGTGCAACTGTTATGTATCATGAACACGTAGGTATTTGAAGTTTTAATCGACAAGAATAACAATTATTAGTTCTTTACCTAAGCCTTACCGACAATACATAACCTGAACTATACAATTTTTCTAAATTTAATTATGAAGTATGCAACATACGTAGTGATAAAAACTTAAAGACGTCACTGAGAGTTCCCCAAGCATTGGCCTTGTAGTCCTCTGTTCTCAAGATGAGGAAGTCCTCCCGCGGAAAGACAGAAAGCCATTCCTTTAGAAACACCGAATAACAACCAATATGGAGCCTGGTCTGAAAGATAGATGAAAACTAGTTAGTGAATTGGGTTATACGCCGCTATGAGCAGTACTGTACTTCAGTTATATCACGTCGTGTCATCTCAATATTGATGTAGGTCTTAAATGCTTAGAACCCTGTGGAAAACAACTAGAACGGATATGGTCCTAGCAATTTAAGGATCAAAATCAAGGCGAATTTTGATGTAGCCCCCTGTCTTAGGGAATTTCGGTGTCTTAGACGACTGTGCCCCAACCCCTCTCCCGCTTGAAAACTTGAAGAGGTTTTACTATCTTCATTTGATCATTTGCTTTGATCATGACTCTTTGCAAGCGGTCATTGATTGTGACGACTTAATATTATGTAACATATTAGTTTTGGCCTCTATCGTAAAATGTACAGCGCTGAAGCTTGTCAGTAAACAGGGTGCCAGGTCTGTGACGTTTACCACTATGGTGAAACCCACAAGCACGGGTATTGCGACTGACAAACCTAGAGACATAATCGGTGCGAATCGGGACTCGAACCCACGATCATAGATTTCTTGCGTACGCAAGGGACGCACCCCTGCACAGCGAATTGCAGCACCTTAGGCGACTGGGCCACCCGTGCCCCAGGTTGAGATAGAAGAGCAGTTCATCATACAAAATAAATATTATGTATAATACAATAGTGAGTGCCACATTATGTCGCGATATCTGCGTTAAACATACAGATAGTTAGTGGGGGCACGGATAGCTCAGTCGTCTAAGGCGCAGCAATTCGCTGTGCAGATTTCCGTCCCTTGGACACGACTCTTGCTCAAAAGTTGATTGATCCGATGGTACAATATTCAAGTGAGTGAGTGAGTTGGGTTTTACGCCGCTTTTAACAATATTCCAGTTATATCGCGGCGTGTCAGCTTAATGTGGGAGGAAAGCCCGAAGTGATGCAGGTCTCAGACGTTTACCACTTCGGTGAAACCCACGAGCACGGGTATGGTGCTGACAAACCTAGAAACATAATTGGGGCGAACCGGGATTCGAACCCACAATCATAGGTTTCTGGCGTGCCCAAGGGACGCAACTCTGCACAGCGATTCGCGGCGCCTTAGACGACTGGGCCACCCGTGCCCCCCTGGACAACTAGAAACAGGTCTACATGTCTATAGACATTTGTGTAATTTTATCTCATTCTTCTGTGTTGGCATCTACGTGAGTCTATTGGAAACAGGAACTCATGGTAAACCTACATGTGTTAAAACAAATTGTGGTTTGGCACGATATACAATGTACTGTGTAGAAAATGACCATCACATTCAACCGTAAAACACGGTGTACAACTACACTGCTCTACTGGTACCAACAATATTGGTATGTACTACAGGCAAAATTACGTTCAAGTGCTATAAGACCCGTGAAGATTTCGGGATAGAATAGGCGGTGAAACCCACGAGCACGGGTATGGTGCTGACAAACCTGGAAACATAATCGGGGCGAACCGGGATTCGAACCCACATTATTTGTTTTTTGGCGTGCCCAAGGGACGCAACTCTAGCGAATCGCGGCGCCTTAGACGACTGGGCCACCCGTGCCCCCACAATATTCAAGACCTCAGTAAAGCTTTATATAGTAGACATGTGACGGAAACTTCCAAAGTTGACCCATCAGTGACAAAAATTATGCCCGATGCAATTCCCCTTTTTGACTTGTACCACATGTTCCCGTGCTGTTTCCAGGTGAACAATTGACTTGCCTTTGCGTGTGTTTTTGACGGGTTCAACCCGTGGGCAGGATACGCTCATCTGTTCGTGAACACCTGGTATCATCCATATTTGATAATGATTCATAAACACATACTCATGACATACTTGGAATCGTACAATCGAATCGGTTTTTAGTAATGAAACCTATGAATGTGGGTTCGAGTCCCAGTTCGCCCCAATTATGTTTCTAGGTTTAGCAGCCCGTGCGCGTGGGTTTCCACAAAGTGGTAAACGTCTGAGACCTGCATCACTTTCGGGGTTTCCTCTCACATTATTGTGTTTGTTTGGTTGTTTGTTTGTTTGTTGTTTAACACCGCACTCAGCAATATTCCAGCTATATGACGGCGGTCTGCACATAATCGAATCTGGACCACACAATCCAGAGATTGACATCATGAGCATTGATCCACGCAATTTGGATACGATGACATGCATCAACCAAGTCAACGATCCTGACCACCCGATCGCCTCTTACAACATAGTCGCCTTTTTGCGGCAAGCATGGGTTGCTGAAGACCTATTCTACCCCGGATCTTCTTAACTGAAACGCCATGATTTAACTGGAATACTGTTCAAAGCGGGTGTAATTATTATTATCAAAGCAACAGTTCAAGAAAGTAAATACCGGTAGGTGATGATACATCTTCGTACTAAACATGCATGTTCTGACAGAATTTTCCCGGATGCACTTCTTCATCATCCAGACAGAAAGGATAACATGATCATGGAACGACTCCGGTGACCTTCCATAGTTCATGAAGTAGTAGTCTGAGTATAATCTGAAAATTACAGTTACAATTTACAGTTAAACCTGGATCGTCTGGACCTCTTTAATCCAGACACTTCATGCTGGGAATGTCTCGGTATATCAAAAAGTAACGTCACTCATAATCCACTGTTCCATCATTGGATATTTGTCCGGATTAACGAGCTTTTTACTGGAATTGATTGGGGTGAATATGAACATTATTTCGTCTGGTGTGACTACCATGTCATTCAGTAAAGGATACAACACGACACAGACGTGTTTTATCCGACTTATGAACTGTCGAAACAACATTCATTAATATTTGTTTAATGTTATGTATAAAAGTGCGCCACGACAGTCTAAAGAAACGCTCGTAAAAGATATCTGGCTAGGAAATAATCGCTAAACATGGTACCATCCAATGAACCTCATATCTTTAACAAGTTCTGTGGTTGAATGGTTAGAGAGCCTGACTACTGATCAGAAGGTTTTGGTTTTGATTCCCATCGTCCATAATGAAAACGTTACATTTCGATTTTATAACATTGGACGTTTGAAATACAAAGTCAAAACTTCACTTGCTTCTCAACTCATCTGGTCTTATCAGGAAAAAAGGGGCGGCGGGGTAGCCTAGTGGTTAAAGCGTTCGCTCGTCACGCCGAAGACCCGGGTTCGGTTCCCGACATGGGTACAATGTGTGAAGCCCATTTCTGGTGTCCCCCACCGTGCTATCGCTGGAATATTGCAAAAGCGGCGTAAAACCATACTCACTCACTCACTTTTTGGGAAAAAGATAACCGTCATTCTCAGCCTTACGAATAAAAACCTATACCAGGGATGAAATCTTACTAAGAAAAACAAGTAACGTCCCAAACAACGGTGAACATCCGTGACAGGTTTATGATACCGGCGAATGTTTAATTACAGCCACCTTTGGGTATGCTGGGTTCTAAATCGTGTTTACTTGCCCAAATGGTAGCGATATATAGTAACAATACCTTCGAGAAAGTTACAAGACTGAAGTTAAAAGTTCTGACACGTTTATCGACAGTACTGTCAGAATCGGCAGTCATATTGAATACAAAACTATGGAGCCTGGGGTTGCAGAAATCCCCCGAAAGTAAAAGACTGTAATTTGCAGTAATGACACTTTGGGTCGACAGTTGAGGAGAGTTACATATGAGGACAGTTGTTGGGTGTGTTTTAGCTCACACATTAAAAAACAAATATTATCGACTGGGGAGTAACAGTGATTCGATTACCGATTGGTTAAACTATAAACAAGGAAAAGTACGGAATAACAAAACTGGTAAGCAATGGCTGACAAGAGGCTCGGAGCGAACTGAATCCTGTTTCCGGGGTTTCTGAGTTCCACTCGGGTCGAAATCTGTATGTTGAGTCTCGGACGTATGTAAAATATGTGAGTATCCAAGCTTGGGTTGACGGTTTTTCTCTGAATGCGAAATGGTTGCTAGATAGAACGTTAAGTTAAATTGGAGACGCGCTCAACACTGATACTCGTTCCATGCCTGTTTTATATCGGGAGTGAGTCTACTTGACCAGTATCATGAGAGAACCGAAGATTTGGGACATATACACTTGGAACTTCATTAAGCACCACCATAACAAAGACATAGAATGATAAGTTTTGAAAATTAATAAGTTGTATCCATATATAAGATAGTATGGCCCTTTTCCCACACCACACCCGTGCCAATACCACTGTCAATGCGCTTGATGAAATGTCTAAAAACACAAAGCATTATCATGGCAAGTCGTAGATTCTTCTGATTAAGATGGTAGATAATTGGAATGAAACATGCAGGAATGTCTTGTAGGGTAATCGGACGTCAACTTGGACGTCACCATACTGTAACTTAAAGATTAGTGCGGAAACAAATGAACAACAACAACAACAACAAATGAAGTTAAGGTCAGGTCACGCCCACGTCAGTCACCCAGGAGAGATGATGCAGCATTATTAAGGCTCAATAGACGACGTCCATTTGACAACAGTACAGTCGTAAAGGCACAGCGGCTCCCAGGCAGAGCGATGTCAACCAGAAGCATCAGAAATCGTCTGGATGTAGAGCCAGAAGACCATCAAACGTCCCTTGTTACCTCAGGTCAATAAAACAGATCGTTTGGTATGGTCTGATCAACGTCTGAACTGGAATTTTGCACCATGGCGGAAAGTCCATTTTGCTGATGAAAGTTGGTTTCAGTTGCACATGGTAGCCGGCCTATGCGTGTCTGGAACCAGGCAGATATAACCATGGCTGCACACAACATTTTAGACACACATCCATTTGGTGGGGGTTCGGTAATGGTATGGGGATGTGTTTCATTCAATTGTAAACTTGACTTCATGCCTGTGCAAGGTAATGTGAACGGACCTCGATTTCAGTATGACATCCTGGGGACGGCAGTTATCTCCCATTTTGACAATCGTGCTTTGGCCACTAGACCTGTCTTTTGGATGATATTGCTAGACGTGCTGTTCTGGAATGCTTACGTCATAATGCCACTGAGACACTTCCCTGGCCAACAAGAAGTCCCGAGCTTAGTCCAATAGAACGTCTTTGAGACATTTTAGGGCCGTCATGTTCGACAGAGAGACCCACCTGTCCAGAACATTCGTGACCAACTCGTGTTATTCCGGGACAAGCCGAATAGCGACTCGTGCCCCTCTCGTGGCCATTTTTGCGACCTGGTTCCGTCTTAGCGCAAACGGGCATACCTACAACAATTGTCTACTCGTTGCGTAATTGTTCACATACATTTCCCCATATATTATATATACTTCAGATGCAATTTAAAGCACATCGGGACATGCGGAATTATACAGTATGACTGTACACATTTAACTGTGTCTTGGGTATATTTTTAGATGCAAGACATATGTAAAATAAAAAATTATTTCTGAGGGATTCTTTGACAAAGAACTTGAAATCATACGCGCATTCTGATTGGTTTGTCGTATTTTCGCACATAACATTCATCGATAGGGGGACGAGTCTTCTTGCAGGTTACGGAAAGGGGCGAGTGGTGACGAATGCTGTCCAGAAGTTACCGTGTTTGGCTGTTTTTGGAGATACATATATTTTCATTATTTTAAGACATACTATACGCTGTAACAGGATAACGAGGGGTAGGATTTATACCACTAGCCGGAGGCTAACGAGGGACGCATAATGTGTGATGTACCCAGAGTGATCCAACTACGACGATTTTATCTTATCGACAAGTTTTAATAAGACAATTAATATAAAATTCAAAATTGATAGAAAACAACTGTTCGATTGAGGGAAGGGTAGCTTGTGATATGTCATGTGATATTCATTGACTTGGAAAAAGCGTTTGGCTTTTTGCCTCGAAGGTGTCATAAGGGATTTATTCTGTCTCTCAGAAATCCATGTGCAGTCTGTCTTGCTCGTGGCGGGATTAAAGAGATTTATTCTCTCGCTAAGAAATATATCCCCCCCCCTCCCTTGTTAGACTCAGCATCCGAAGCAATTTGTTAAATGTAGGAATACCCCGGAGGTGCCAAACTTTGAGATAGAATAAGTCAAGGAAGTAGGGCACAGGTACTTCTCAAACTATCGCAATCCCGTTGCGGAACCTACATAACAATATAATCACAAGAGTAATATTAATATTACCTGTCATTAGATTATTTTGAAATTGTCCTCGATAAGCACCCGTAATATTGACACCAACAGTAAATATATCAACAACGTACCTGTCTATGGGGTTTCTGAAGATGAGTAGGAATTTCATATATTTATACACATGGCGCATTAAATGTGGAGTAAGAACTAAAGGTTCTTGAAGCCCTCTGTTCTGAGGTATTCTCGTCCATCCTCGGAAATCCCAGAAGTCCATCGGTGTTCCGTCCCCTAGAAAATTGCAAATAAATGTGTGCAATATAAAAATCGGTACTTAAAACATTCTAACATCGAGGGGTTTTGTAGCTGGGATTTTATAGAAAAAATATTGTCCCCGAAAATTCTTGAAAAAAGATAATTGTGCTTTAGACCATTGAAAAAAAAAATCGAAATTGCCTGCCGCACAAACTACATTGTTGCAGGACGATTTTCTTTAAAAAAAATTCAGACCCATAATTTTAAAGAATAAATATCTGGTTTGCAGCTGCAGCTGGAAAATATCTAATCGCGATGCAAAGTCCCAGTTTCTATGATGACGCTAAATAAAGGCATGTTTTCACATTGACCTCTTAATTTCTGTTCAACAAACAGGTATTATTCGATTTGTTTACTGTGTGTCTGGTAAGCAAGATTCATCCCTTAAATGCCACAGTATCTGAAATTATCCAATGTGTTCTGGTTGTCGATGTAGTCATTGAGATTTGATGGAAATATTGGATGTTCCCATACATTTTTCGTAGTATATTTTAAAACTAGTTATTGCATTTAATTTCATTGAAAGCTTGGTTTTAATAATACATTCCATGACATATTTAATATATTACGACCCGGTCCTGATTGCCAACTATAATAAAATACTGGGATTTTAAGCTTAACTATCTCGAAACTAGTCACGCCAGTAGTTTACATGGTCTGCTGAGTAACTTACCTACAACTTTAGGGTGGTAATCATCGACTGCATAAGCTTTTATACTGACGGATGCCTTCCTAAACATGTTGATGTAGTCAGCAAACGTTAGATGATGACGTCTCATACTTTTATGAACTATACCTGAAAAACATGTTGTAATGAATACATCCTATCAGACATAAAAATAAATTATGCATCTCCGTTGTGTTTTATTACGTCAAAACTGAACTTTATTTTGAGAAATGCCAGTTTCACTAAATCCCACTGTTAAAAGCGGGGACCAGTCGCCTGAGAGCACGCCAGAAATCTAAGATTGTGGGTTCGAGTCCCGATTCGTCCCTGTTATGTTTCTAGGTTTGTAAGCACCATACCCGTGACTGTGGGTTTCACCAAAGGGGTAAAGGTCTGAGACCTGTATCACTTCGGGGTTTCCTCCACCATTAAGCTGACACGCCGTGATATAACTGTTTTTATTTGTTTGTTTGTTGTTTACCGCCGCATACAGCTATATTCCACCTATATGACGGCGGTCTGTAAATAATCGAGTCTGAACCAGACAATCAAATGATTGACATCATGAGCATCGATCCATGCAATTGGCATACGATGCCATGCATCAACCAATTCAGCGAGCCTGACTACCCGATCCCGTTAGTCGCCTTTTACGACAAGCATAGTCGCCTTGGGTTCAACGCCGCTTTTAACAGTATTCCAGTTATATCGCGGTGTGTCAGCTTAATGTGGGAGGAAAGTCCGAAGTGATGCAGGTCTCAGACGTTTACCACTTCGGTGAAACCCACGAGCACGGGTATGGTGCTGACAAACCTAGAAACATAATCGGGGCGAACCGGGATTCGAACCCACAATCATAGGTTTCTGTCGTGCCCAAGGGACGCAACTCTGCACAGCGAATCGCGGCGTCTTAGACGACTGGGCCACCCGTGCCCCCCGGTTGTTCGAAACTTAATAAGCGTCGTGTTTGTACATATGCACGTTAAATAATACACAATTACTTATGGGTATGGTAGAAATAATAATACACACATACTGATGGGTATGGTAGACATTCTATATTAAAAAAACCCTACTTTTCGCAATTTCAAACATGGTAGGGATCTTGTGACAGTAAATGCATTAAATTTTCTTACCCCAGTCTTCATTAAACCAATTTATTTGTACACGAAATTATCAACCCTCGGATTGTTTATTTATTGTTAAATAGACAAAATGAAATTAAACAACAGTTCTTTCAATTTTCAATTACATAATAAACAAGCTCGGTATGCTTTCATTTGCTCCACAGTTTATACAAAGACACACGTTCCACGCTGAACAGAATCTGTTTCATTGCATAATCGAGACTGGTTAGTCTCTGGCGTTGACGTTGTATATTTACCCTGGAGCGATATAACCAGGTGGCATTATTTACTTGAAATTGTATATCTACACGAGGAATGGGCGCATGAGGAACATAACAAGAGTAATTGTCTTTGTTCAGGGAGAATGTGTTATAATTTACCATAGCGAAACCGACCCGTGAAGTTTCCGGGGTAGAATAGGACTTCAGCAACCCATACTTGCCGTAAAAGGCGACTATGCTTGTCGTAAAAGGCGACTAACGGGATCGGGTGGTCAGGCTCGCTGACTTGATTGATGCATGTCATCGATCCCAATTGCGTGGATCGATGCTCATGACATTAATCACTGGATTGTCTGGTCCAGACTTGATTATTTACAGACCGCCGTCATATAGCTGAAATATTGCTGAGTGCGGCGTCAAACAACAAACCAACCAACCAACCAACCATAGCGAAACCAGCTCCAGTAGGTAGCTTCCTTCCCAAGCACACAGCTACACGTCTCCACATCTGGGTGGTGAGTAATTCTATTGAACAGATCCGTAGATCCGCATTTATCGGATCCAATGAGATGGAAATACGGGAGGCAGCTGATGGTCCCGTTTTGGTCCTTCCAGCACGGGTTCTTGAAGTCAGGGAGCAGCTCCGTCCTGTTCTGAAGAGATACATGCATTGTGATGAAACATCACCGAGTGACCAGCTGACTCGTTAAATACATAATGGAATCTTGTTAACTTGAAGTCATCGGGTAAATGTCGATAAGGCGTCTGCCCGTGCCCAAAAGCTACATCGTCGTAAACGATAAATTGAGAGGACACAGTTTGTGTTCACGGTATTGATTCAAACACACTTTCATTGCACGGCAACGAATAGTACAGTTTGACACAGTTTGATACAGTTTGACACAATTTGACACAGTGTGAGTGTGCATGTGTGTGTGTGTGTGCTTGTGCGTGCGCGCGTGTGTGTTTGTGTGTGTGTGCGTGTTGAGCCCGAGGTCTTCCATTAACCGCCCTAAAAAATAGCGTTACCGTTATTATAGCTAAAATAGACAGCACTTGTTATGAAATAAAAATAAACAACAATATCGATTTTGAAACACTGCAATCAGCTCACAACGAATGTCACGGACCCACTTTTACAAATATTGAAACGTCATAGAATAAACCAGATGACGTCAGTGTTGAACATCAGTATGACGTCATCTAACAACGGGCGTGATAATGCAATATGAGGGTATTATCAAGTTACAGTTCCCCGCTTATTTCTGATAACATGCGGGCTGTTTAATGATAATTCTATCCATTTTAGCTATAATTTCTAGTTATAACTGTATGTATGAAAGAATTGCAAACACATTACAACCGGTAGTGAAGTATGACAGTAGCTGTTATGGCTAACAACGATCTTGATGGACGATAGGGGTGGGATGGGAATTTTAAAGTTTTTAGTTTTTAGATCACTTGAGCATAATACCACCACGATCTGTCAACCATTCATTCACTCATTCATTCAGGCACAAAGCGAATGAGTCTCCCAATGACTTGAGGGACTCTGTCCCACTCCTCTTGCAGAGCCGGGCCAAGGTTGTCGACGGCTTATGATGTTGACGCATATGTTTCCCTGTCATGTCCCAGACGTTTTCAATCTGGGAAAGGCAATGGCGTTCTATTGATGTTGCTGCTGGAGGTGAACACTGGCGATTCGTGAACGGTGGGAAAGACAAAACGTCGACCCACACGCCTTGCACACGGGGCAACAGAGGGTGTCAGTATGTTGTCACGATAGTTCGGTCCAGTAACCTTACCCTTCTTTGCACAATATGCAGTGGGGTCTGGTCAGTCATGGTGATGCCACCCCACACTTTTACCGATCTACGGCCAAATATGTCGACGTCGCCATGCAGACACGACCACGCCTATCGAGGAAGCGCAAAGTGAATCGGGACTCATTTAAAAAAACATGACACGTGACCAGAGACGATTACTCCAGTTTCGACGTTGTGTACACCATGGACGTCTGTTGGCAATATATACGGTTTGTAAGTGCCAGCACAACACGTGGTCGTCGAGCACAACGATGAGCTGCATACATTCTAATCGTCTGACCCGTAACTCGTACTCCAGTAGCCTGATGAAAGTTTGCAGAAATTTAATTCGCCGTTTGAGCTCGGTTTCTTAGAGTCTAGTTTCGGATCAATCGATCCTTAACGTTTGTCGTTGACCTGGGACGCCCTGAAAGGGTCGATCGTCAACGTGTTTGCTCTTGCTGTTACTTATTCCATAGTCTGCTTATCACAGAACATTGAACATATTGCAATTGGCCACAGCACGCTGACTTCTGCCAGTTTCCAGCATGCTGAAAGTTCCTAGGCGCTTCACGCGTTGCAGACGCCACATCACTTGATCGTACACGAACAAGGAACAAAATATACTGTTTTAACATTTGAAATCTCATGCTGCACGTTCGGTTCTAAATTCACGGTCACATCTACAGGTAACCCGGCTCTACATTGACGTTTGTTTGTTGTGTAACGCCGTACCCAGCAATATTCCATTGAAGTACAGTACGGTTATCATCATTTCAATGTGACTGTAAAAACTTTTTGGTGAAAGCAAATATATGGAGTGAAGCGCCATAGGTTGAATCCAATAATTTGAGTGGATTGTCGATCTGAATTCCGAAATCAATATGGCGCTGTATGTTCTCAAGCACTTGTTTACACCCTAATTCGTCACTCGGACATACGACAGGCATTGAACGCAAGTAGCAGAACACCTTTTAAAGCAAACATAAATTTGGCACTCATAAAAAAAGTGAGCAAGCCGTGCAAAGTTTCTTTCTACACCGTACGTCACTACTAGGACGTCATATCGCTCATTCATACTATACAAACCCTGTAGACATGTCATACTGACCCGAGACAAAGCCTGTAGACATGGTATATTGACCAGAGACAAACCCTGTAGACATGTCATACTGACCCGAGACAAACCCTGTAGACATGGTATATTGACCCGAGACAAAGCCTGTAGACATGGTATATTGACCAGAGACAAACCCTGTAGACATGTCATACTGACCCGAGACAAAGCCTGTAGACATGGTATATTGACCAGAGACAAACCCTGTAGACATGTCATACTGACCCGAGACAAAGCCTGTAGACATGGTATACTGACCCGAGACAAAGCCTGTAGACATGGTATACTGACCCGAGACAAACCCTGTAGACATGGTATATTGACCAGAGACAAACCCTGTAGACATGGTATATTGATCCGAGACAAACCCTGTAGACATGGTATATTGACCAGAGACAAACCCTGTAGACATGGTATATTGACCCGAGACAAAGCCTGTAGACATGGTATATTGACCCGAGACAAAGCCTGTAGACATGGTATATTGACCAGAGACAAAGCCTGTAGACATGGTATATTGACCCGAGACAAACCCTGTAGACATGGTATGCTGACCCGAGACAAAATCTGTAGACATGGTATATTGACCCGAGACAAAGCCTGTAGACATGACATATTGACCCGAGACAAAGCCTGTAGACATGGTATACTGACCCGAGACAAAGCCTGTAGACATGGTATATTGACCAGAGACAAACCCTGTAGACATGGTATATTGACCCGAGACAAAGCCTGTAGACACGGTATATTGACCCGAGACAAAGCCTGTTGTCATGACATATTGACCCGAGACAAAGCCTGTAGACATGACATATTGACCCGATACAAAACGAGGAGACATGCCATGTTTCAATCACTTATGATGTCAAAATATGTAAAAAAAAAAGTGTTATCGATATGCGAGATAGAAATCTTACCAAGCAAAAAAGATCCTCGTCTTCGCCTGGTATTGCTCCAACACAGGGAAACTGTGGCATATACACTTCTTTCTTGAACAGTCTGTCAGTGTTCCAAATGAGTTGCCATGGTGTATTTTGTCCAACTTGGTCAAACTCCATGTATGTAAACGTACACACCAACACCACCGTTGCGAATGCGACAACACGCATGTACAAGGCTACTTTAGTCATGGTTGAAGTACAGAAACAGACAACTGAAACAGATGTGGTGATACACTGAAATCTCGTTAGTCCGGACACCGTTAATTCGGAAAGCCAAACTTTCGAATGATTACTGTTGGAACGTTTACATATTGACAAAGGTTAATTACTTCATGACATGATTCGTTTATACGGACACAACGGTACTGTCCGGATTAACGGCGATTCAGTGTACTACATGATATGAATAATAAGGAATGTTACGTTTTGGCGAAAAGACTAACAAATGACATATTTTTTTCTACTGTTTCCATACCAATCTTTAAATGCTTTCCCATGTGAAATTGGCCCAAGCTTCTGTTGCTTGTGATTATGAGCGCCGAATGAGGTTCCCGTCGTTAGGCTCGACCACGTGGCTGATTGCTTGTCATTTTAATACTAGTATTGCTGACTACGGCGTTAGATTTCATTCATTAGATCTTCCAAATTGTTGACATAAGCACATCTGTCAATGGCCTATTGATCAGGCCTACTGTGAATCCTTCCATCAACACGACCAAGAATAATAGGGCGCCGTATGTGGCAACAGCTGTCAACGCTACCTCAAATAAAGCACACACAATGACAATCAAAAGGAACTACACATAAAGAGTCGATTATCCAAAAAAAAGTTTGAAATCGATCTATCAATGTTTACTCAATACATTTCTGAAAGGGTCACTCGTTTGTACATAGATCCTATTGTATCGAAGGCATTTCATAAACAATGTTCACTGACGTGAGTCATACCTCCATCATACCCTTAGAAGGTGTGATGGTGACTGCATGTGCCTGCCTCTTTTATACAGGTTTAAGGAATATTTCAAATAATCTTCAAACTGTGAAGTGAGTGCATGACCGTTTTAAAGTTGTACATCGCATCGGCAATATTGCCACCATATCGCGATAAGGACAAGTTAGTTAGTATTAAATACCTGTCGACAAAGGACAGTAAAACGGTTAGGTAAATACCCAGTTGAGGTATCAAACAAATCATGTCAAAATTAAAACAAATAATGTTTCAATAGATTAAATTATATTTTTTATCACCTTCTTTCTTTTTTTCACATTATATGGCACATTTCAAAGAGAAAAATATGATTATGTTACGTACACATTTTTAGTGCTGTGTAAACACTAGACATTAATAAATCTTACAGGTTGTCATATGAGGGGGGTCAAATTTGGAACGGGTGGTCGGGAAGCCTAGTGGGTAAAGCGTTGCCACGATGAAGGCGCGGGTACAATGTCTGGACTTTTCAATAACAAGTGCTGCATCCTCTATCTGGGTTGAATGCTCTCACAAATGTCTCCGAGATTTCTGTGGCATCAGACATACACATGGCGTGCAGTCCGAATGCTGCGCACATTGCAAGGGCATGCCTATTTGTCAGATAACAGCATAAACCTACGGATAAAGTTGTAATGGAAATACAAGAGCTCATATTGGTAACTCTGCCACCGTGAAATGAACGCTGATTTGTTTACAGCCAGAGAAGTGGCAAAGTCGTCGGGTACCTTACATCAGCTGGCATTGCCACTCGTTTGTCACGATACTTCTCAAAAGTTGTTATCTATGCAAATTTGCTGTCACCGTTTTCACAGTCATCGGGTACCTCACATCAGCATGTTCTCTTATGTACTATTGAACTCGCCACTAGACCTCGTTGTTAGCTGAGACAGTGAATGCACATATCCATCGTACTACTTGTCGCGGACCACCCACTACCCCTTTCTTCACAATGGTTCGCGCCAGTGGGCGGACCTCATACATATTCATACAGGGTTAACTGTCAGATCACAACTCAGCTTACCAAAACAAACTCATTTATTCACAGAAAAAGAAACCCACGGCGGAACATGTGATACAATTATATACAATTTGTATTATGTACAAAATGACAGCATTTAACAAGAATAATAAAAATAGATTACGTGGATACTATTACAATTTACCAATTGTATTGTACACATTGTTAAGGCATTTAGATAGGCCTTTTAGATCTCTATCACTGTTAGTGGTCATGATTTTCTTAATTTGGGACAGGTTTGGAAACTTAAGATATTGCTTATTTACGAGTTCATATCGCTGTTGGTGAAAAACTTCACATCGGAACAAATAGTGAAACTCATCTCCCACAGCGATTGAATCACAGAGTGGACACTGGCGGTCTTCCCTTGGAATGTTCAGCCATCGACCAGTTTCAACGGTAATCTATGGTTAGAAGTTCTGAATATTTTAGTATAGGGAGAAATATTGATTTTGAGAGCAATAGATATTTTTCAAATGAAGGTTGATTCTTCAGGTAGTTGTAATACGACCCTTAGGAGATTGATTCGGCAGTGGATTTCCAGTTCTGACGGAATATATATATTTTCAACCATTGAGGCCAACCATGGCGTGGAACATACCGATGGGTTTTGAAATACATATGACAATTATCTAATACATTCTTAATAAATATGGATAGTATACATATATTTGTAAAGTATTTGGGACGGTTTATGATGCACTTCTGAGGTAGCAAGCTTATGCCAAAAAGAGATAACACGTTTATAAACTTTAATACTTAGTGGTTCCCTACCCAATTCGCCATATAACACAAAGTTTGGTATTGTGTATTTCAGTCCAGTAGCTAATTTGATAAATTTTAGGTGAACCCTTTCTATAATAGTTAGATTCTCGTATCCCCAGTTCTCGACACCATATAATAGTATGGGGACGACGATTGCATCAAATGCAGATAAGAGGCAATCTAATGGCAAAGAACATTTCGGGACTTCATGAGTAGGCTGAACATGGCTTTAGTTGCGTTTTCTGACAGCGATTTGACTGCTTGTATACATCGTCTATTCCTGGGTAGTTTTAGGCCAAGGTAGTTATATGAATCTACAGTTTCGATAGGGTCGGAGCCAATAGTGAAATATAATTTCGATTTGTTTGCAGGTCCGGCACCAAAGATCACAACTTTTGTTTTTGTTAGATTAACATTTAAGATCCATAGAGCACGGTATTAGGAAAACTAATTTAACGATTTTTGAAGGTCTTTAGAGTTATCACTAATTATAACTGTGTCATCAGCATAGAGCAGTATTAGGAGCTGAAAAAATACAGTTAGGTTAGCATCGTTTAGATTTCCAAGGTCAACACCTTTACATTCATTGTTCAGCAGATATTGTTCAAGATCATTTAGGAATAATGAAAATAGGGGAGAGGAAAGGTTTTCACCCAGTCGTACATCATCATGACAAATGAAATCGTCAGAGAACTGCTTATTAGTGGTAATTTTAGATTTAATGTTGTGGTACATATTCTTGACCAGGGTGAAAAACCTTCCTTCTATTCCAAGTTTTTGAAGTTTATGCCACAGACCAACTCTCCATACGTTATTGAATGTTTTAGTGAAATCTATAAAAACAAGGAATATAATTCCTTTTTTGATATTTTCATTATTTGAATTAACATTTGCATTGCAAAGATGTTATCACAAGTAGAAACCCCTTTTCTGAAACCTGCTTGCACAGGATTTAAAATTTTATTATCATAAAAGTTTTTAGTTAATCTGTTATTTAATATTCGGGTGAAAAGTTTGCCGAAGCAACACAATATAGTTATAGGTCTGTATGAATTAGGGCCTAGGCGATTGCCTTTCCCTTTATTGATTGGGTTCACAATCCCCGTAAGCCATGTATTTGGAACTGTCGAGATGGTAATATAACATTAAAGAAATTTGTAAGAAATGGGACTAGGGTGTCCATAGCATCTATAAAATAATCATTCTCTATAAGATCATGCCATGTAGCTTTATTCCTCTTCAGACCTTTAATTGCAAATGTAATTTCTTCGGCTGAAAATCCCAGTGTTAAGAACTGTAGTGTCTAATGTAAGGTTGCCTAGCCAGTTGTCATCGATGGTTGTATCACATGTAGAACGTTCTTTAATTTCAGTGAAGTAGGCGTAAAAACTATCTCTATCTGGTGTAATTTCTGTTTTATTACTATCATTTCTATTTAACATTTTCCAAAATTCTCTCGGCGAACGTTTATTGTTTTCCCGGAAGGCGACATGTATAGTATTTTTGATACTTTTAATCCGTTTATCAATAAACTTTTTATAATTCTTAGACATTTGGCGGTAATGAGCTCTATTTAAAGGTGAATTTGATTTTCTAATTATATTTTTAGCTTTTTTAAACTTTTTACGCTGGATTCTACATGTTTCGTTTCTTGTTATGGTCAGTATGCGTTTTAACATTCTTCCTAACACCAAATGTAGTGGATGCAGCATCAACAAATAAAAAAACCCCCAAAAAAACAGCAACAAAAACAAACATGAGTTTCACGTTCTGCACGTGCTCGCTCCGTCAGTTCACTCATGCTACCCCTGTTGATATTTTGACAAAATATGGTGGATAAATTTGCTACATACCGCTTGGGTTTCTTACTCCCACAATTACAAGTGGATGGAGCCGTGATATATGCTGGAATATTGCTAAAAGCGGCGTTAAACAATACTTACTCACTCACTCATAATTTGATGGAGTACTGGGAGGCCTAGTTTGGACATCTAGTTTCTGATTAGGTATTTTGACAGAGAAGTTTCCTGGGCAGTGAACATCAGAGTAAAAAGGTGAGTAATTCATAATTTAAAAATATGTGAAGAGTTGGAAGGACACTGGAGATGTAATTACATAGTCAACTACTGCTTATCTTTACAAGTTGCTTTGCCAATAGTTCTGTCTTTTCCCAGACGACCATTACAGATAAAAAGGTTTAAGCTTTTGTATGTTTAAATGAGTTTAACACCAAAGTTATTCATTCTGCCCATGTCGTGTGTACTTCTGTCTAATTCAGGTTTAAATTCAGTTATAAGTACACTCAAATCCATATCTAGTTCATCAATAATACGTTGATCAAATGTACAAAAACCAAACATGTTCCTTGTTCGTGCATTAAAACCACCAAACACAGTGACATAATC